ATTCAAAAATCTGTCAATATTTGACTACATCTGAACTACTATTTCCTACTTGGTCTCAATCAGACCATCCTAAAAACTGTATTTAACATGTTATTTACTCTACTTATGAAACTAAGATAAATTAAGTGGCCAAACACCCCTGCCTAGTTCCCAAGTTTAGCTGAACCTGCTAATCTAATCTCCATTCCTAGAACAGTGTAACATACAGAGTTACCAACCACAGTCAAATTGTACTCCTTCACCGTTTTTCCAAATACGTCTTACCTATTTTCACCTCAAGCCTGAGCTTAAAATAGTTTCCACCTACCAAAACATTCTTCCTGCTTCTTTATAAGGGTTTAGATTCTAACCATATTACAAAACTAGGAACAAGTCTCCTGTTCCCCATTAAGCCTTCACCCACTTCTCATACCCATCTACAGACAAACTTCTCAAAGCTATTTGCACTTGAGTCTTCATTTACTCACCTCTTAGATGCTCTTCAACTCACCACTCCATTTCCAGCCCATCAGTGTACTGACACTGTTTCTGTGAAGGTCACAATAACCTCCATGATGTCAAATCATGTGGAAAGTATTCTCCAGTATTCAATATCCCTTCTTTTCCCTTCTAATACTCTCCTTCTCTTGGCTTCTCTATATCACCCTCTTCTGGCTTTTCTCCTATCTTAATGGTTACTCCTTCCCTCACTTCTCTATCCTCTGACCCATGCATTTCAGCAGGGGGTGGAGCAAAAAATGCTTCTTGGAATGTGGGAGAAAAGTTTCTTAGATATTATAATGGTTTGTGGTCTTCAAAGGGTCACAGTACATGAAGAGACAAACAATGTATCTGCAGTATTAAAATTTCCTGGAGTGAGTGATTAGGACAAAAATGTCTACAAATGCTCTTTAGGGGGACAATAATGAAAAAAATAGTTGAGAAACACTGCTTTACCCAAATCTTGGCATGCTGGGAAATTTCAGGGGACAATCCTGGACCCACTTCTGCTCTCTTTATACTTTCTCTCTTAATGAGCTCATCAATTTCCACAGATTTAAATGCTATTTTTATATGAATGACTCCTAAATTCTTATCTTGAATTTCAGTGCCCCTGGAACTCATGGTCTCTCAACAACAAAATTTTCTAAGTATTTTCTTTTCTTAATGTATCCTTCACCTTCTTGCCTAAATGAAATTTGGTTCTCCTTTGATGACACTCCTGCCCTCTCTAGCGAAAGCTCTTTTCTTTACCAGTGAGCCTGGAGGTAGATCAGGTATCTATTGCTCCTTATTGTCACTCTTCTTCCCTATCCTCCCTAAAATACCTAGTTTTAATACCCGGGCCATCATATAAAACTACCCATTATCCACCCACCTGACTATAGTACTCTACCAACTTCTCATTGGTCCTGAGAAGTTCTCATTGAATCCTCTCATTCCCAGCTCACTCTCTTTCTGACACAAACCCTGCCATAAATTTCAGTAATCTCAATACTCATAGAGATAACCCATCTAATACCCTGGCCTTTGTTTCTTGGCCTCGTCTCCAACAAAAATCTTACATTTTAGCTTATCTCAGATCTTATGGTCACATGTGTTTGTTATTACCAGGTGCCAAAAATTCTTCAAGTCTATCAGGGCCTACAAATCCGTTAATCCAATCACATTTTCCTTCAACATATTTATATCCTTATGGTCTCTTAATGCAACTTAAATTCAATGGCTCAGCATTATAATCACTCTCTACACATATCTTCAATTTCCTAGACTCTTCAACATACTCACTTGGCAAAACCCAACTCTGGTTCAATCCTGCTATTCAGACCTATACTCATGCAGCTGAATACAACTGGAGAAATCATACCACCCATGCTGGCTGGTCTCACTAACCTCATAGGTAACACTAGGGAATTACCCAGCATCTCCCTATTCACTCTCCCACTCGTCTAGGCAACTATTTTATATCTCCCTTCTCATCTTCAACAACTCCTCCTTCAACCTCACTCCTAGCTGATGAACTGGTTTCCCATTTCATTGAGGAAAAAAAAAGAAAAACACTCAAAAGACCTTCCACAAGCTATCAGAACCATATCTACCCACTTACCTGCATCTATTTTTAATACATTCTATCTTCCCTCCCATTGCTAAGGATGAACTATCTGTACTACCCAAGACTAATTCTTCTATTCGTCTAAAGTACTCTTGTCAGGATTGTGAAATTAACATGATCTAATTTTAAAACACTTTTGTCCCTCCAACTAAAAGAAATTCTATACCTATTAGCAGTCAATCTCTATTTCCCTCCTACCTCCCCCAGTTCTAAGCAACCATTAATCTACTTTCTGTCTGTATAAATTTGCCTATTCTGGACACTTCATATAAACGGAATCATAGAATATGTGGTCTTCTGTGACTTCGCTTCTTTGACTTAGCATGTCTTTAAAGTTTATCCATACTATAGCATTTATCAGCACACTCCTTTTTAAGGCAGAATAATGATTCAGTGTATGGATATACCACATTTGTTTATCCATTCATAAAGTCATGGATATCTAGGCTGTTTCCATTTTTTGGCTATTATGAATAATGTTGCTATGAGTATTTCAGTACAAGTTTTTGTATGGACATGTATTTTTACTTCTCTTGAGTGAACTGTAGGTTCATATGGTAATTCTATATTTACCTTTTTAAGGAAGTGACAAACCATTTCCCACAGTGGCTGCATTATGTCACATTCGTACTGGTTACGTATGAGAGCTTCTAATTTTCTCTTGTGCCCATTCCAGTCAGGTTTTCATCCCGTGTACCTGTCAGGGTTACCGATTACCTCCTTATGGCTCAACCAATGGTCATTTTTTAGTCTTCATCCTGCAAGACCTATTAGCAGCATCTGATTCAGCTCATCTCTCACTCTTCTTTGAAACTCTTCATTTAGATTCTAGGCAATCAGTCTCCTGTTTTTCTTCGACATAGCTGAGCATGCCTATTCTTCCTCTTCTTCAGCTTCTAATCACTAGCATGTCCCAGATTCAGTCCACTCATCTCTTCCCTTCTCTATCTACATTTATTCTATTCGTGATCTCACTCAGTCTAACTACCATTTATATATGTTGTCTATTCCCAAATGTGTATTAACAGGCTAGATGTGCACTTCCAATACAGTAGCCAGTAGGAGTATGTTACCATATAAATTAAGATTAATTAAAATTAAATTTAATATTTAGCTCCTTAGTCATATTAGCTACACTTTAAGAGCTCACGAGCCACATGTGGCTAGGGGCTATGAAACTGGACAGCACAGATAAAGAACATGCCCATCAACACAGAAAGTTTTATTGCACAGCACTGATCTACACTTCCCTGAGCTCTACATCCCACTGCCTCCCTGATATCTTCACTTGGATGTCAATAAACATCTGAAAACCAAACTCCTGATGTTCCTCCCTATACATGTTCCTTCCATTTTTTTTTCCCTGTTTCAATTGATGTTAACTCTAACATTCTGGTTGTTCAATACAAAAACTACAGGGTAACTAACCCTTGACTTCACTCACACTCCAATTCAACTGATCAGCAAATTCTGTCAGCCCTGTATCCAGAATATGACCACATTTTATAATCTCCACTTCTACTACCCTGTTTGAAGACACCATTATCTTTTGCCAGTGTAACAGCTTCCTGACTGATCTCCCTGCTTCTGTCTTTACCACCAACCAACTTCTATTTTCAACATAACAGCCAGAGAATTCTAGTTAAACTCAAAGTCAGATCATGTCAATCCTCTGTTCAAAATCCTTTAATGGCTTCCCAGATCACTCACAGCAAAAGCCAAAGTTGCTATAGTAGCCTAGGGCCCTATGTGACATTACCCTATTACCTCTCTAATCTCATATCCTAATCCCTTCCCTTTGCATAGTCCTTGGCAGTCATACTGGCTGTTCCTCAAAAGTACCAAGCATATTTCAGCCTTCTCCATGAAATGTAATTCAGAAACCACAAAGTTTAAGAATCTCTAAGCTAAGCTAAAAAAGGTATAAACAGACATTCTACTTCCAGATAGCTAGGTATTCAAAGTAATCAACAATTAACTATGAAGTTCCCTGGCTTGTGAATGGGATTAAATGACATTAGTTACATAAAGAAAAAGGTCTTCCAAAAGATGCAATCTCGATTACTTCACTAAGCCTACATCTCACGAAAAATTAGTTAGCTAGTTGTCTGGAATGGCATAGACAAACTAAACAACTAACAAGATTTTTCAAAATAAAAATTCAATTACTAAAAAAGCTGTAAATATGGATTAAGATTTCGTATTTGGTAACAGTATAAACATAAAAATTTTTATTTGCTAAATTGTAAAAGACTTCAGGGTGATATATAACTACCTGCTCTGTAAACAAGTTCTACTCAATGCAGCTGGTCTGCAAACTGTGCATTATTGGTCTGTTTTGAAATGAGAAGCTTTTGTAAGAATGCAATTCAATACATTGCTTCTTCATTAAGAAAATTTCACTCTGAAAAAATTTCAGATGGACTAGTGTGCTTACTAATTTAAATACTCTACATTCTAGTACAAGCTTCTATCTCACTGCAGACTAGTAACTAACATTTTACAGACTGGCATAGATTAAGTAATTATATTTGGGGTAGCACTGTTCTAAAGCACTTCCTGGGTTTTATTTCAAGTCTACTGAGTATTTTTAAACCCTATCTGCATGAAGTGTTAGGGTTTCTGTGCCATTTCCCATTCTGCAATTTATTGGAATTAATATGTACCTTGTTGTTTTCCAGATGTCACCAGTCTCCTTATTTACATTACAAAATTTTAATGCTGGTCAGAAAGAAGGCTTTAACATCCAAGAACAGTAACATATTGATAAAAATTTTTAATTAAGAGATTAAAAATAGCTCATATAATAGCACTTCAAAAGGTGAAATTTGGTAATATATTTGAAAGTTTTGAAAACTTTGTTTTATTTTAAAAGAGATATAAAAATCATTCACTTTTCAACACTAACCTAAATATTCCATCAGTTGTTCAGCAGTTATGATTTCCATCATCGGTGGAAGTTTCACCTGAAAAACAAAGTATTTTTTCTATAAAATCAATTGTTTTGGTGATTAAAGTGTTTCTTTAGTCAGAAACACAAGTTTGTATATGTATTATGTGTATCTACTATGTGTATACAACATTCACATTTTTAAGATCTTTATAACCAATCTTTAATACAACAAAGTCAATCCTATCGCCATAAAACTTAGAGGGTGATATAAGATCCCACAGAGATGTTGGGAAATCTGTTCCAAAGCCAAGTGCTATGCCTTTCATCACTCATCCTGGTTGTCATTAGGCACCTGCAACAGTGTCCTGCATGATAGAAGATGTAGTTAAAAGGCAGGAAGAGACACCAAACATGTTTCGGCAGGTCACTCATGGGAGCAGTTCTACTGAACACAGCCTTGAACATAGCTCAGTATCTCATCACTTCAGTCTATAGTGGCCATTTTTATTGTTGAATAGCTAAAATGAATACAGTATAAAGGATTAGTCATAAACTGAAGGATTCAAACTATATGAGTCCATCTGTAAAATTTAAAAACAGGCAAAATTAAACTATACTGTTTAGAGCTGTACACATATAAAGAAAAGGAAAGGGCTACTATAAAAATCACAACTGTCGTTAGCCCTAGGAATAAGGGAAGGAGTTATAGTTGGAATAGGGCATACAAGAGGCCTCTGAAATGTTGGCAATGCTCTGTATCTTGACTTGCCTGGTAGTTCCACCATTTGCTTTATGATAACTTGTTAAACTGGACATCTCTGTTTTATGTACTTTTCTGTATGTGCTGTATGTCATAATAAAAAGGTTAAAAGTAAATACATACGTTATAGTCATATTTAAGTTTCAAAAGTTAATTCAGCTACAACACATTAGTTTAAATTTAATTTTTCAAATTAATTATCAGATGAGTTACATAAGTATTACAGCCAATAACTGTAAATATTTTAGTTTGACTCATTGAAACACATACTCCTCGGTATAGTCATAGAATAGAAGAAAAACAGATACTGTAGGATGGAAACTCAGAGTAACTAACATATCAATGACAGGAGAATAGCAGTATAATTAAAAATTCTTCAGGAATTATTTTGTTTAACCAAGGACATTTTAAAATTAGCAATTTCTCCAGCAAGTCCCCCAAGTGTTGAAGAAGGTGCTCTGAGCATTTATGCTAGGTTACATATGGTAACAGTATGTCACAATTTCTTGTTTTAATCAATGAATAAAGTAAGTCCTAAAAAAAGATCCCTGTAAAACAAAACAGTATGAGACCCTCTGAGAGCATACATGACAGTTAGTGCTTATGAGTTAGTTATCTAGCAGATTTATCATTCAGTGAAAACCAAGAGATGCCATGGAGGTTTTAATCTTGATTCTCGGTTATTTTTATTTTCTGGAATTTTTTTTTTAAATAGTAATACTTTTTTTTTGAGCAGTTTTAGGTTTACAGAAAAATTGCGCAGAAAGTACAGAGAGTTCCCATATATAGTATATTTTAAAACTGAAACTCACTAGCAGATTATAGGCTCCTGCTTATTTTTCTAAATAAGCTTTTATTCAGTGTCACTCTCATTTGTTTATGTACTGTCTTTGGCTGCTTTTGCACTACAATAGCACAGCTGAATCTTTGCAAGAGAGAGCATATGGCCCACAAAACCTAAAATATTTACTATCTGATTCTTTACAGGAAAAATTTGTTGATCCCTGCTTTAGATGATTTTAACTGCTATTTTATAATATTTTATCAAAATGTTTGAGTACCACTTTGAAGGTCAGAAATTTAAACCAGTAACTTATATACACTGTAAATATTTACGTTCTGAACAACTGTCAGACCAATTGGAAAGTCCCATTTACACATAACAATGTTTCTTAAATAAAATAAGAACTGTATATTCTTTTACTCCAAGAAGATTCACTACAGAAATATGTTCACCAGAAAATTCCATAAACAAACAGCTTATTCTCTTCTGGTCAATGCAATAGTCCTACTATAAAGTTGTCAAAATAAGAAACCAAGGCACTAGCAAGCATATGTATTTGGGAAATTCTCAATCCTAGATTTCTACAAAGAGATGATTTCAGGGCTTACTCTTGAAATTTCCAAATAATAACAACTGCCTACCATGTCTTGCTTCAAACATCTGAAATAGGAAATGATGACCTTTATACAGATTTCAAAAGTGGAATAACAAATACACAAATATTTTAGCTGACTTATTCACAAGCAAACTCGGTGATATATTCTTTTCTTCAATCTAAGCCAATAAAATATTTTGGATGTTCATTAAAACTAGGGACAAAAGACTATAATAGTGAAGAAATGCCTGTTTCCCACTAACACTGAATCTTTGCAACAGAGACCATATGGCCCTAGACCAAAAATAAAAACAACAAAACCTTCTGTTTGAAGTATTAATAATATCCTAAGCAGGAATGTAAAACATTCCAAAAGTGATATGCCAAGATTTTGATACCTGTGATTTTGATATTCTGAGCAGGGAGAGAAATGCAGAAGACCCAGTAGTACTAAGAAATAAAAAGCAGTTTATATAACTGATGGTAAGTATGAAAATGACCAGCCAAAGAACATTGTTAATGTTTAATCAGAATGCCAATTAATAAGTACTCAAGAAATACAAAGTCTGAATTCTAACACCTCCTTAAAGCTGGGAAGATATAGTTGAGGAGATAAAAATTGAGTATTTACAAAGCAGAAATAAATAAAATAGAGACTAAAAAAAATCAATGAAACTAAGAGCTAGTTCTTTGAGAAGAAAAACAAAACTGATTAACCTCTAGCCAGACTTATCAAAGAGAGAGAGAGAAGAGTCCAAATCAATAAAATCAGAAATGAAAAAGAAGTTACAACCAACACCACAGAAATACAAAGGATCATAAGAGACTACTACCAACAACTATATACCAATAAAATGGACAACCTAGAAGAAATGAAAAAATTTCTAGAAATGTGCAATCTCCCAAGACGAACCAGGAGGGGAAAAAAGTATGAACAGACCAATTACCACTAATGAAATTAAATCAGGGGGAAAAAAAATCCCAACAAACAAAAGTCCAGGACCAAAAGCTTTCACAAGTGAATTCATTTGGAGAGGTTAACACCTACCCTTTTCAAACCATTCTAAAACCTGCACAGGATGGAACACTTCTGAACTCGTTCTAAGAAGCCAGCATCACCCTGACACAAAACTCAAAGAAGATATCAGAAAAAAAGAAGCAGGTCAGTATCACTGATGAAAACAGATGTAAAAATCCTCAAAAAATATTAGCAAGCCAAATTCAACAATACATTAAAAGGATCATATACCATGATCAAGTGGGATTTATCCAGGGATGCAAGGATGGTTGAATATCTGCAAATCAATCAATGTGATACACCATATTAACAAACTGGTGAATAACAACCACATGATCATCTCAATAGATGCAGAAGAAGTTTTTCACAAAATTCAACATCCATTTTATGATTAAAAACTCTCAACAAAGTGGGAGTACAGAGGGAACATACCTCAACATAATAAAGACCATTTATGACAAGCCCACAGCTAGCATCATACTCAATGGTGAAAAGCTAAAAGCATTTCCTCTCAGATCAGGAACAAGACAAGGATGTCCAAAGTCACTACTTTTATTTTATTTAACATAGTATTTTAAGTCCTAGCCACAGCAACCAGACTAGGAAAAGAATAAAAGGAATCCAAATTGGAAAGCAAGAAGTAAAACTGTCACTATTCACAGATGACATACTATACATAGAAAATCCTAAAGATACCATCAGAAAATTACCAGAATTCATCAATGAATTCAGAAAAGTTGCAGGATACAAAATTAATATATAGAAAACTGTTGCATTTCACATCAAAAAAGAATACCTAGGAATAAATCTAACTAAGGAGGTAAAAGACCTGTACACAGAAAACTGTAAGACACTTACAAAAGCAACTGAAGATAACATAAGCAGTTGGAAAGATATACCACACTCATGGACTGGAAGAATTAGTATTGTTATGTTCACATACCAAGGCAATCTATAGATTCAATGCAATCTCTATCAAAATACCAATGGCATTTTTCACAGAAGTAGAAAAAAAAATTATAAAATTTGCATGGAAACAGAAAAGATCTTTATAGCCAAAACAATTTTGAGAAAGAAGAAAAAGCTGGAGGTATCATACTCCCTGATTCCAAATTAAACTACAAAGCTACAGTATGGTACTGGCCCCAAAACAGACACACAGATCAAAGGAACAGAATAGAAAGCCCAGAATTGAACCCACATTTACATGGGCAATTAATCTACAACAAAGGAGGCAAGAATATACAATGGGGAAAGGAAAGCCTCTTTAATAAATGGTGCTGGGAAAACAGGATAGCTACATGCAAAAAAAATTAAACTGAACTATTTTCTCATGCCATGCACAAAAACAAATTTTAAATGAATTAAAGACTTAAATGTAAGACCTGAAACCATAAAACTTCTAGAAGAAAACATAGGCAGTATCTCTTTGACATTAGTTTAATTAGTATTTTTCTGAATTATGTTTCCTCAGGCAAGGGAAAAAAAAGCAAAAATAAACAATTGAGACTGCATCAAACTGAAAAGCTTTTTGCACAGCAAAGTAAAACTATCAACAAAACAAAAAGGACACCTACTAAACGGGAGAAGATATCTGCAAATGCTATATCCAGTAAAGGATTAATATCCAAAACAAATGAAGAACTCACACAATTTAGCATAAAAACAAAACAAAAACAAACAACCCAATTAAAAAATGGGCAAAGGATATGAATAGATATTTTTCCCAAGAAGACATACAGATGGCCAATATCACATGAGAAGATGTTCAATATCACTAATAATCAGGGAAATGCAAATCAAAACCACAGTTAGATATAACCTCATACCTGTCAGAATGGCTGTTGTTAAACAGACAACAAATAACAAGTGTTGGCAAGTATGTGGAGAAAAGGGAACTCCTGAGTAACAGTGGG